GGTTAACAAATTAGAAACATCTCGGCAAATATGTCTTTAATTTTGTAGTCAGTGTATTTTATTCTTATTTTATGTATATGGCAACTCTCAAGGTCGTATGACAAATGATTTCATCAAAAGCAATTTCTGTCCCATAGAGATGTTTATGGCAGTTCATGGATTTCTCTGAACTGAATGTGAGGCTCAAATTTTCAGATTTGCCTTATGTTAGAAGTCCTGTTTCTCCCACAATTAATTAAAAATTTTGATGCCTCTTATGCAGCTATGTTGGGCCAAATACTCAAGTGGAGAAAAGAGGACTACAATTAAGAGAATTGCATTCAGATGAAGTTCAGGCTCCAGGTAGCATGAATTTCCAACATAGATAATTCTGAAGTGCTCGGTGCATGCTGCGAAGCATATGGAGTGCGGTGTGATGTCTTGCTTTGGAATCCCTCTGGTGAGCACACGCGCTGGAGCCGACTGCATTCGCGAAAAGGACAGGCCATTAGCCACCGGATCAAAGCACTGGGGTGCTTAGTGGCTGCCAGTGGCACAACTCAGGGTAATAGCACCCCGAGGAGTATGGAGTAATGGAAGTAGTCTCCCAGCTGGAGCTTGATCAATAATAGTTGGAAAAGCTGCCTACAAGAGCTTTATCAGACACTTATATCCTGACTGGTATGGTCTCCTGCGGGGAGGAGGGAAAGAAGCGATATGAAAACAGCACCCTGTTTCTTGGGCTTTTGTAGCTAAATATTGCTGCTAGTTAAGATCTATCCTTAATGCAGCTCCTACAGTCTTTTGCCTGGAGTTTGAAGTTATTTCTGTTTTATATATAGTTTTTAAAGTATTGAACTATCTAAAAGGGCATATTTGTCTTTGAGGGAATCTATACTTTGATCCCTTTTCATATTAGGAGTTAAAAACTTTATTTTAAAATAAGTGTTTAGACTCAAATATCTTAATTTATCTATATTTGTATAGAAAATAAAAATGTGTTCCTTAAGTTGAAATGTAATCCCATGTGTAAACAACATTTCACTTCTTACCTTTTTTTTTAAACCTGCGATGAGCTGTGTTAACTAAAATCTGAAATTATTGATACTGTTCTGAAATACTATAAAGCTGGGTTTTGGGGGATTGTTCTTTATAAATTGGTTTTGTTTGGTTTTTTAAAGTATCACAGCTTTGCCCAAATGATCAGCTGGGCATTGAGGATGAGACATTGGCATGAGGTTTGAGGTCTGGATGAAAATTCTGCCTGCATGCACTGTTCCTTGGGCTCAATGTAGCAGTTACTTTGATTGCTCCAGTGACAATATTTTAATACAACTTTCCTGGCCATTCCTACTGACATTTCTGGGTTTACTATTAATAAAGCACTAGAGCTGTAACCAGAGTTAACAATTCTGTACTACAATATTTCAGTTAAATTGCAGGTTATTAAATAAAGCAAGCCAATTTCTGATCTTCACTTAATATACATTTCCAGTAATTCAGGATCTGATGTCAACAAAAGAAATGTTTTAGATAGTGCAAAGAAGTGTAGTAATCATATTATCTTTCAGGAGATGTATAGTGTTTATTTCAAAGTATTTTAGCATGATACAGAGCTAGTAGAAGGATTTGCAGTTTACAGCGTAATCATTTGAGTCAGATGGACATAATGTCTTTTTCTAGTACAGTCTTTGGTTCTTGGCTGTGGTGGACTGGAGGAATTTCTCCCTTCTCTCTGGCTGTGTAATTCTTCAGTTCTCTGCCTTGTCTGTCTCCTTGAGAGATGTAGCCCACCTTCTCTGAACTCACCATTTTTTAGTTCATCTGAGTCTTTCTGGGCTTGGGTTTGTTATAGACATGACCTCTCGGTAAGAACACACATGACAAGCAGCGCGTATGGGTTATTATGGGGAAACCCAAGAGTTGGTATTGTTGTGCTCTGCTCTACAAGTAAGTTGGGGTTTTTTTTTGCCTGTCTTTACATGAGCTTTTTACACCATTCATTTGGCAGATCACATCTATTTCACCACTGCCAAAGGTCTGTAGTTGGTTTTCTGGGCATTGCTAAGTCATGCAGGACACGTTCTAGACCATAGCTGGGCCAACTCTTATGTGCTGGAGTCTTGCATTAGCAGTTAGATGTAGTTAGTGACTGCCATACTGGAGCTATGCTAGACCAAGGAGATGAGGAAATGATGTAGGATTCACACAACTCACGCATGCTTTCTCTGACATCTGAAATTTAGGTAATCCACATTATGAATCTAATTACAAGCAATCTGGGCAACAGAAATATCTGTGCATAATTTATGCATATTTCTAGAGCTTTAAAGAGTGAGACCTTAAACGTGTATGGAACTTCAAGGATATGAGTATCCCCTTTGTCTTGGTGGACTGTGAACTCATTCATACCAAATGGTCCTATTTTCCTGATAATGATGCATGTAAAAGAGGATATATATTTAGCAACAGCAATACATGAGAGTTGACTGAGATTGACTTTACACATTTTGGGTCCCTTTGAGGACTCTGGCATTAATGCTGCTGCTGCCAATACCCCTGATTGGTCATGCTTATGCAAACTCCATGCAGTGCTCTAAGTTTGCAATACCACCTAGAGGCATTTAATGGTGGCTTGCGATTCAGAGGGGGGGAAAAAAAAAAAAGCAGTATCATTTGCCAAAAAAACCCCAACTCCAACCAACCCAGAGGGGAAGCAATTTTGCGTTCTTTATCCTGGATTATAATGACATAAGCCTCTAGAGAAATTCCGATAGCTCTAACCAGAGGTTGAATGGAGAGCAGTCAAGAGCAATGAAAAGGAAAACCCTTGCTTTTTGCGGCTGTTGATGACTTTCTGATCAGGCAAAGCTACGTATACAGAGACTCACTGAACAGATGGGTGGAGCTGACCCATTCAATCAAATTTCTCCTGTATGGCAACTAGACGATCTCAAAAAACTGTGTGAAGTGTCCTTATACATCTACAGTGGGTAACCGTCTGTTTTCACATGGTGAACAATGTTGAGCATTCAGCAAATAGTGTGACTTGTGAATAAAAGTAAAGGTAAAGGCAGGTAAGGTGCAGCAGTGTTCCTGTATTGTCCAAATGAATCGGTGTGGATTGATATGGTCTATACTGGTCTTGAGTTCAGGTTCTTCCTGGGGACGTTGGCCCAGCTGTCTGAGTCTACTTATAAGATCAGAACCTGACCATTATGTTTCACACGCCATTGGATCATGAAAGTTTATAGTTCCAGATTAGTTTATACTTGTGTGAGTTACACATCAAGGAAAATTAGAATGTTACCTTTAAAACGCTCAGTGAACAAAAAAATACAAACTCATTGAAAAAGATTTTCATTAATGTTCATCCCTGAAATACTATCTGGCTGTTAGTGAGAGATACGATTTTTCTCAATTCTTTGTTCCAAACCATTTGTTTTTCTTTTTTTTCCTGACAAGTGAAATTTGTTGAGTTTACTGAAAAGGTTGACCATTCTCAGTTCTTTCTCTTTTTAAGCCACATGTTTTACAGCAGTATAATACAATATGCTTTGCCAGTAGTTTGCATAAAATTTGTGGTTCATACTAAATGAAATTAAGATACGACAAATATATTTGGAGAGCTAGGTCTCCCCCCGCTGCATTCTATTGTCTTTCTGCAATAGAATTTGGAGACTTTTTTCTACTTTGAGGTGCTTTTCTCAGCTTCAGCACAAATTGGTTTACAGTGAAGGATTCACTGATAGGAAAACATCTGGGATATTGAAGTATCTCTTCGAAGGTCTGATCAAAGTGAAAGATGTTTATCTTGACGTTTCAGTCCAAAGGAGCACAGCTGATTGCTACCTGACCTACAAAGATGCCAACATGATGTCATTAAGATCCTCGCAGGTGTGTGTGAGTCGTAAGAGAGTTTGGCTTGGGAATAGTCTCTTGTCCAGTTCAGGAGTGGATCATTTGTGATCCGCTTTGTGACAAATGAGCGCCAAACTAATGACAGTGATTACATACTACCCTCAAAAGTGTTACTCACCAGGAAAGCGTCTCTCTCTCTCTCTCGGATTTGCAGTGTATTGCAGATGGGTTGAACTTAAATCCTGCATGAACTAGATCAACTCTGCAGCCAATATGCAGTAGTTTGAATAACTCCAGGACTGAACTCGGCATACATGTGTTGATGACTTCACCTCCTCAACTGTAGTAAAGACATGTTCAGAAGTAGAGACCAAATGTGTACAACCCTGGAATTTTCCCCGTCAGAGTACATGGGTGGAGCCCCAAACCAATTGGGTTTTGAGAATACACTATGGTGTATTCCAGAAAAGACTGGCAGTAACTGTTTAGTCAACAGTCGGTGGGAGAAGGTTGCTGATAAGCGACAGGTCCTTGTGGGTGAGAACAGCTGCTGTTCCTCAAATAAAGCAAGACTTGGTTAGAGGGAATTCCTGTACGTGGACTCTGGCTAGCCAGTTTGTAATGCAGAGAAGGCATGGTGAGCAGCACTGCTACAACAGGAGGTGCTGCTTTACGGTGTCTCTGGACAGTCCGCTTATAAACTGCTAGTCTAGCAAGAGAAGTCGAATCTTTTCAAAATCAGACTGCTATTTCATTGGATTTTACATCAATCTCATAATGTTTAGTTTCTGTCTTAAATTCCCTGGGTTTCTGTAATTATGAAAGAATGATTTTTTGGAAGCTATTAGCTTTGCTGCATGGAAGAACTTAAGAATGTCTGTTATAAAGGTTCAAATATTAAAATACGAATGAAAGGCATGTCTATGTGCTTTATGAAATTGTCATTCATGACTTGAATAGTTCGAAATGATGAATGATACTGCAAGAAACTGATTTTATTTTCGTTTTGTATATTTAAAACATAAATATTTATTACAATTTTTTATTCCCGTTTAGAAAATATGTGCCTTCTTTAAGTCCCTTTTAATATGATCTTTGATTCCAATGGATATGGTTCCTGTCACTGATGTTGTCTTTTTCCCCCCGCCCCTCTTTTCCAGTTATACCAGCAGAGTTGTTTCCAATGGACTGAAAGCACAAATTAATAACCCAGAACTGAAAGTCAGAGGATTGGACCCACTCATCAGCAATTTAATTGATAAACTTCAGCACTTTAATCAAGTAAGTAGCTTTCAGAGATAAAAGCATTTTATCACTGTGTTTGATAGCAGAGCTGAAGCTAAAATTTCTAGTTGGTACTGCTTTGCATGTTACATTTCCCAGGATAATAGGCCTGAAATAGCCATGCAGTGGGCCCAGGACTAAAGGCAACTGAAGATTCTGTTGTGCCAGCTGGTTTATGAACTCTAATAAGGCAAAATTATTTCCCTGAAGTTGCTGTAATTCCTGGCTGTTGATTAACTGTCCTACAGTCCAGACTCCCTGGAACATGGAGGAACTCCCGAGCCCCACAATTCACATGAAGTTTGTGACTAGAAGTCAGGCTGTGTGAGCGCCTTTAGGAGTCTTTTAGGAATCCTGTGATATCCTTGTGTTGGAGGAATATCTCCTTGTTTGTGCAGCTTCCCATTTTCCAGTGTTGTGGATCATAAAGACAAAATGGGTCTATAAGGGTGTGATAACTGAATTGTATGGAATGCTGGTCAGGACAGAAGGTGCTTTAGGATGAATTAGCTGCGCACCTTTGAAAAACATTTTCTTAACAGGCCTTGTTCTCAAGCCCTTCAGCTGAAAAGGAAAGATATCTGACAATGACAAACTCATTGGTAGGTTGTGTATGTCATCTTTTTGGGTTCCCTCAGATGTGCTTGCAGTCCTGGTGCATCTGCCATCTTTCAGAGTTGAATGCATGATTCTCTGATATTACTGCTTCAGCACACCTCTTTGTGAGCTCTTAAAGTGGTGCCAGTCCAAATGAGCTGGAGCTAACAGATTTAACAGAGATTGATTTTCATTTAAAGTAGGCATGTTTTCTTGTCAGCTTGGAAGAATGCTTACAACACTGTGTTCAGAGTCAGATGTGTTTGCACATTAGTCTACTTGTAATCTTTTGCCATTAAAGAATGATGGAGTATGGGGATGTAAATAGTAGAAAACCACCGTAAGATTAAAGTCCACCCCACAGCGAGTGGGGTGTGCAGGAAGAAAAATAATCTGCACAGGTAAAATGGGAAAAGGAATTGCTGTCAGGATGTGGGAGGTTATTAAGAGTGTGGCTGTGACCGGGAGTCTGGTTTGATCTCTTACTTGCTCCTGCAACAGTACAACCCTCCTTTGCCTCTCCTCAACCACTGGTGGTAAATCCATCATCTAACCAGTAATTAGTGTTTTTGTTAAATCTTGCTTGGCTCTAATGTGCTTCAACTGTTCTGTAGGCTGCAGTTTAGGGGTTCTTTGTATCACGTTGTTTGATTTAACTTGCCATGGGGGATTACAACAACCAGTCTGATGCTGTACTTAATTTTACAGTGAAATAGACATTATGTGGTCAGATTGATGAAAAGGATAATTCATTATTTATCCGCCTTTGCACGTTATAAAGTAGAGTGTTAATTTACTTTATAAATATTAGATATATCCATCTGTGTAATAGTCTTCTATAAACACTGACAATAGGAAATAGTTAGAAACAGATTAAATTAAAAGTAGCTGTGTATTGGAAATTCTTTTTCTTTGTCTGCTGTAGAAAAACAAACAGCTGAAAGGTCTCATAATGAGCTGCGTACGAATTTTCTTAAGTCACGTACATTTAAAAAACAGCTTCAAAGAACACCTTTGAGTCAGAAGAATAAAATCCAATTCCTAGTTCTTTCTGTAAGTTGGAAGTGTTGTTTTCTGTTACTTCTAATTCTGTTTTAGGAGAATATCATCCTTAAGTAAATGTAAGTCCCATCAGATTGAATTGCTTAGCAATAATGGATTCCAAGGGTGAAGGATTAAACAGAATACTGATTATTGCCCTAAGATGGTTTGTTCTTAAGTACTTGGAATAATATAAATTCCTTTGATCATAATTTTAGTAAGATTTCTTCAGAGATCAAAGCATCAAAGAAGTTGCTAAATATCTAAGGCTTTCACATATGACATCAAACACATGTAGCTGTTTTCTGCTTCTTGAATTTTCATTTCAGTTGTGATATTAACATACAAATAAAAACTGACACTGAAAAGCCGATTAAATCAGGAGTTTTAAAGTGTCATTGATAGTGCGTGTAGACTGTATAGAGGAAGAATTATACACAATACCATTACTCATTTTACAGGCAAATTGATTTTTTTTCATCAAATTATTCTTTTTTTGGGGAGGGGAGGCAATATGTAAGGTGGAATTTAAACAGTGATAAAATAAGGTGTTATCTTCGTATCTTCTTAAGTGTTTGACATTTGCAACCATTTTAAGCAACAGTTGCATATTGCATATGTGGAAGCAATCCTAGAGAGGCAGGAAGCCTGGAGAGCAGAGAACCGAGCAATGCACGGAATGTGCAGCATAGGTGATTTGATGTGTCTAGCCCTCAGTAATTTTCTACCGCTTAAATAATACTGCTAAACTACCCAGAGGAAAGTATATTCTCGGATAAGAGGAAGATGTGCTGAGGTTTTTAAAAGAAAGAACATTTCTGTTTCAATAGAACGAGGTCCAGCCATGCTGCATTTACCCCTCAGAAAGCCTGGACCTGTTGGCTTTCTGTCTGTGTCTCATTCTGTTTTGGAAAAGTGCGTGTTTTTGAAAATCGGGGTAATCTGCTGCTAGATCAATTTGCCGAGGCTGTGGAGTACTGTCAACTACGGCTACGTTCAAATCAACAGGATTCATTTTTCTAAAAGGTGTAGCTTAGCTTAGTAATTCTTAACCATTTCTGGAGCAAATCTAATCGGTGCCGTGTTCGAGAGCTCCTCTTCCACCTCCTGTCTTCCCCTGCTGGACCCCAGTTCCTCCTCCTCACTCCGTGACTGCTGCTGCAGCCCCCTTCCCCACGCGGGCGGTCGGGGGCTGAGGACGCAGCGCGCCGGGTCAGCGGGGCCTGACGTACCGTGTGCCTCTGGCCAGCGGGGTAGCAATGCAGCACAAGGCTGTGAGCAAGAGTGGCTTGTCACTGGCCACGCAGGAGTAGCAGACTGTTCATTTGTTTAAATCCCAAACTGACAGTCTTTGGTGTACAGCAGCCTTTCTTTGTTAGCTTCTTATTAAGATTTATCCACAGATGCAAGGAGATGAATAACTTCATTGATCCTAAATCCCACAGACGTGGATAAAATTCTTGTCAATGTATTGTTCTAGTTGGTGCATCCCAACTCCAGCATGTTACAAATAATCTGTATGCAAGTCGTCTTCAATTTCTGCCTGTCATTTAGGCTGAAATGCCAGTTTTTTGGAGATTATAGCAGTTCCTCATTTTTTTCTTCTGGGACTTAAATCCTCACAACATAGTTGTTGTTTTTTTAAAAAATTATTATGCAAGTAGCAGGCCATTTCATAAACACTTTGCAAAGCAAAAAGTGAAGTGAAATTTAGAGAATATTATTCAGCAATTGCTGTTACTTGCATCCCTGGCAGAAAAGGTATTTGAAGGGCTTATTGTAGCTCCTGATTCACAGATCAATAGAATTACTGAGTTTCAATCTACATGTAGTAACTTTTACTTTTAGCAATGCAAAAACAGATCAAACAAAGTCCCAAGTTGATTTTGAAGAACTAGCAGTTAGAAATAACATTTCCTCCCCCTGAATAGAGCAGATGTGAACTGCAACTGATGATAAACATAAAATCCCCCATTGCGCTTTTTTTGAGTACTATTTCTTGCCACATAATCGCGCGTAAATATGTTTTAATGTTTTTCTTCAGCATAATGCTTTTCACAGTTCAAACACAAGTGGTTCTGAGGCCAAGGTCAAAAATCCTAAAGGATCAATTGCATTGAAAAGCAATGAGAATGTTAGGGAAAAGTGAAAAAGCTTTGACTATACCTTTCCTAGCAGGGTTGCATGGGCATTCTCAAGGATTATAATATAATAAGTATTATACAAGTTTAACTATTTGTCTTTTGTTGGCCTAATTCTAGTCTTGACAGATTTTGAGAATCGGTGTGTTTTGCTGTTAGTCAGAGATCAATGCTTAGGGCATAGCTGTAATTCAAGATGACAGTGCTATATCCTAGTGCTTAAAATGAGATCAATGCCAAAACAAATCTTGCTGAATCTGGACCCCCATATTCTTTTTTTTTTTTTCCTTTTTCTCCCCACCAAAGTCTCATGGATCTGCCAGGTGAATTAAGAGATGCATGTAACTTGAATTCCTTTTAGCCTTCTATACAAAGGAGGCTGTCACAGCAAGGTTCAAAGCAACAGCACTGAGATGTTTCTTACCAATAATACGAGCTAGCCGTAATTTAATTTCAAATGTGAATTTAATTGGCTTAGACAATAGAGAATAATACAATAAATCATTGAACTACTACTTAATTTAGAAGTGTATATATATTTTTAGACATGTATAAAATTTATTACATTATAGACTTTTTATATGAGATTTAAGTGGAGACAAGTTGGTTTGATTTTCATCCAAAGTTGTAGCTGACTTGGACTAATACTCAAAATATTCTGTTCTTCGTTTCATCCAATGAAAAGATGGAAAGAAAGGTAGTAATCTTAGAAAGACTGTTGTTATATTACTTTTAGCACTTGGGACTTAAGCAGCCCCAACTGGCTTAGAAGTTATTGCTTTGCCCCCCACATACCTCCCAAAACCTGCAGAGACTTGTGTCCCTTACAAAACAGAGCACTTTTCCCAGAACTGCCATATGCCTGGGTTTCCAAAGCAGGTCCTTTCCCCCCGCCCCCTCCTGTCTGCCCAAAGCATTTGGAGACAGTGGACATTTCCTCAGGACTTCAGGTGCTACACATCCCTTGTGGAAGTGTGAAGCAACACATCTGGAATCCCAGAGATACCAATTCTCTCTTTGGTCGCTAACCACACAGACTATCTGTAATTTGAGGCACTGAATTCAATGCAGATGCACAGATTAATAGAAGAAGACACACTGAAGGGATTCCTAGCTGTGTACTGTGTGCAATGCACTGACAATCTGTGCACACGTAGTATGCTTTCAGGGCTTTTCAGGATTCATTGCGTGCAGACCCTATTATACAGGTACTTCCGC